TATAAATAATATATGTAAGTAAATATTAACTTTTTTAAATACTATTAAAATTTTGTTCATTTGATTCATATTGTAAAAGTTACCATTGTTTTTTTTCATAACATGAGTATATCTGCAAACTTTGTGGTCCACAAAATGGGGCAAATCTCCTTCCAAAAGTGATACTACCTTCGTTTTAATATCCGTCTGTATAACTAAACTCTCAACTATATTTGCCCATAATTTTAGGATATGTTTTTGTGTAGTAGACAAATGATAAATGATTTTTCTTTATCAATAAATAGTTCTAGTGAAATAGTTTCATTTGATAAAAAAAATCAATTGTTATTTTTAAGCCAAAAAAAAATATTACGAAAAAATTCATGTATAATTAGTTAATAATTAATTATAAGGACAAATAATTTAAAACAGAGGAAGTAGGTTTGATTATTTGGATTGAAATGGTAAAATTATTATTGGGCAGGAATCCGAACCTGCATAAGCATTTTTAATATGGGTTGTATGACTTTCTTACCACTTGAGTTTTCAATGAGTGGTCCATGGGGAGAACATCTCCTTCAATCTTGCAGCGTAATTGGGCACAAATGTTGCAAAAGATTGCAGCTATATATTGCTAGCTTAATTAGTAAGTCCTATGTATGAATTATGATTGAAGGGATTGGATAACCATACCCGATAGTCAAAAGTCTCCATTAACACCACAAAAAAGTCTTAATTAAACTCCTTAGAGCAAGGAATTAATTAAAAATAGGCCCTTTCTCTCTCTCTCTCCCTCTTTATATGGTTTGGGATGAGAGCATCTCCAATGCATGCTCACTTCGGTGTTCGTGTAAGAAAATAGAACAAAGTTTTAATGTTTTTTTCTTTGGAATATTTTTTAAAATTAAGCTTTATTCTCGCACTTGTTTTTTGTAACCTAATGACTAGTACCATTAAAAAAATGCATATACTCTTTCTGTGGATGGGTTTTGAACCCGTCTCATGACAAAAAATTCAAAAAAAAAAAAAAAAAACTTTATTCTCTAAATAGAGATAGTCAGTCATATTTTTCTGAATTTAAAAAAAAAATAAAATCACGTCATTTAACCTCATTTAAAGCCAAAATTGTTGACTGACCCAACATATGCAGATATGCATACACATCAGCGCATGTCAAGCCCTTTGCAATGTCTCACCATGCTGTTGAATTTTGAATCCAACGACTTGGATTCTTTTTTTTCAAAAAAAAATTAATTTAAATTTTTTATTTTATAAAAAATTAATTTTTTATTTAAACTATATAAAATATGGATAGAATAAAATAATGGTTTTGTGATTTTTTAGAAAGTTTTGTGTAGAAACATGCATTAGAGCAAAGGTGTTTTATTTGAATGGTTAAATATATAAAAAGATAATGATACATATAATCTACATAGTTACACACTTTATTATATATTGACGGAAACTTTTAGTTTTAACGATATAAATAATGAAAACGGTCAATTTTAATACCGTAAGTAACAAAAACTATTAGTTTTAATAGTACAAGTAATAGAAATAGTCAATGTGCATCGGAATGTATAATTTTGTAGGATATATTAATCATTTTCTATATAAAAATTTTAGTTTATATAAAATAATATTAATTATGATAATGTGACATTAAATTTGAACTTTTTATTATTCCTCATTGTACATGCTCTAATGATTCATAATTTTCTAAAATTAAATTGACAAAGTTAAGGTTATTATTTTTGGTACATCCAATAATAATGACAAAATAAAAAATTCACCTCCACTCATTTCAAAATAAAAAATGATTAATATACTCTCTAATTTAATACATCCACAAATACTTATTGATTTATGCATTAAAATAAGTTGTTTTGAATTTTTCCACTCTTAATTTAAATTTAAAAATAATAATTTTGTAATAAATATATTGTAAAATATGTTGAATAAGAGAATATATTAATCATTATCTTTTCAAAATTCAAATTTTACAATTAAATGAATTTAATATCTTAACTACTACTCAAGAGATCAAAATAAGGTCATTAGAACCATACTTCGATCCATTGCTCATTATTTGTTCTTTTGATCCTTTATTATCAGGGGATCAGCATCATTAAACATGCTCGTAGTCACGCGAAATTCAGGTGGAAGTATATGCTTTTCCTTTTGAAGTCAAGATAACAATATTAATTATAATTTTCTCTTCTTAGTGGGTAACTTTTTCATTGATGTGCAATTTCATCTGAACGTGTGGAGAGTAGGAGAAGTGTCAATTTCTGTCTTATACATAAATCATCACTAAGAGACAAAACACAAATTGTTTGCATCACTTAATATGATATTACGAAAAAACTTGACAAGAAAAGTTTTGGTTTTCTCATAATACAAAAACCGAAGCATGTAAGAAATTTCTTTGAAAATTTGCAAAATAAATGCTCCTAATTTACCCAAAATATAAGTGAACTCAATGATCATCATTGATATTGCTCCATCTATAACATTGAAGAGATGCCAAAAATAACTGTATCAAGAGAAAAAAGTAATAAAAAAAAATGAGTATAATCAGATCATGAGTTATAAGCTAATTCAAAAATACACTAATTTTTTTTTTTACATATTATTTATTTTTGGCATACTTTTGACTTTTATATTAAAAAAACTGGTCTAAAACTTGGACTAAACAGAGACGAAGTCCTGGTTTTTATGAAGGAATGGTAAGGATAAATGAAGGTCGTTTTCATAGGAGGTTTCTGAGAAACTTTCAATGGTGGGCTGGGGAGATTTGCAGCTTATTCCATGACAAAAGTATTTCTGTTTTCATCTTCATCTCTTTTCACACATACACCTTTCATACTTTGTTTTTTTTATAGTCTCATTAAAGGGATTTGGTGACAAGTGCATGGAGGAACAATCCAGTGTCTAGCTTTAACACCACATCCATAGTTACACGTTGAGGCCAGAGGGTCCCTTGATTCCTTTTTCTTTTTTTACTTTTTTCTTTTTGATAAATTATACATATTATTGTCATGCACAAAATTGGGTTGCTCCACTTTTAATCAAACATCCCATCGGTATGGGAGTGGGAAGGCCCCATCTCTTCATCATTTGGTCAGTAAGCTTTGTAGTGTAGGGTATTGGTAATATTTCTGGGACAGATGGTCTTTGTGGACTTACCTTTTTTTCCTTCGATATCATTCAGTCAGCAACAACATGGTTTTGCCCATGTCATGGTCTGATGTGGCATGCACCTTCTAATGAATGTAATAATAAAAACAATCAAGTCTTTTAATAATAGGTATTTGTTTTGTTCTTTAAGATGTTGGAACGGCCATGAAGAGTTTAAGCTGTTCTACTTTGTAAATTGTAAGGACTTTTCCCTGATCTTGAGTTGAAGACTTGATTGTTAAAGATAAATCAAAACAGGTGATAAGTCTGCTTGCTTCTTTTTGGATAGTTGTGTTAGGTTGAGGGTCCGAAACCGAACCCAATCTTCCCCCTTTGCCCAGTAAATCAACAAAAAAAAAAAAAAAGTTTCATTTGAAACTTTAAACATTTTAAAAGAACCTACCCGTATAAGAGGAATGAAAGCAATATTGTTTGTTACTCATTTAACTAAAATTTGAGACTTTTTGACCCTTTTTTTTAATAAATATAGCTGTTTTAAACATATCATGCTGTTAGTTTTTTTTTTTTTAAACAGCAAACATGTTATGTTATTAGTGCTAAATTAAAAGTGTTCGAATTCATAAAATATTTGTACGAGATGGTTAATTTTAATATCAGTCCAAAATTAAAAACTTAAAAGTAGTATGGTACTTTTTTTTTTTT